ATGGGTGTGGTCAGTGCAAGGGATGCAGGCGGGGTAGATATCTCACTACATTCCCTTCTAGTCTTCCCTCTTTCCCTCTTTCTCTTCCTTCCCTTTCTTCCTTCCTCCCTTTTTTCCCCTTTTCCCTTCCTTCATCTCTTTTTTTTCACCTTTCCTTTCTTCCTTCTTGTTCTTATTTCCTTCTATTCTTCCTCTTTCCAGACTCTCTTACTTCCTTCCATCCAGTGGCCATTATAGAATAGCTGCTAGGCAAGTGACAGGGATATTGTTATTCTGTAAGAATAGTACTTACAAAGGAACGAGGATGAGAGTAAACTGTTCATTAGGCGATGCTTTGGCAGAGCTGTCCTTAGAGGGAGCCCTGGGACTGGGTAGCAGACAATGATCTTCCCACAGAGAGCCTTGTGTGCTAGACAGAAGCTTGGGTTGGTGAAGGGTTTGTGTGAAGGCACCAAAGGCTGTAGCACAAATAAAAACATGGAGACAGATATTAGGTAGGGTTCAAGCTTCAAGGCGAAGGTCAGAGAAGCAAAGCAGCTGGCCGTTAGCTCTTTCCTCTATCCCCGGTTGAAAGGGTTGTCCGGTCCTCAGTGTGGCTGGAGAATAAATCTTTGAAACTGATTTTGCCTCTTCCTTATATACCTCTCTAGAGCTGGGATTAAAGGTGTAGGACCCCAAGTGCTGAGATCGCCTTTGTGTGAGCTGTTTCTCTTTTGGACTGATTCACTCCAACCCTGGGTGTCCTTGAACTCATAGAGATGGATCTGCCTTTGTCTCCCAAGTCCTGGGATTAAAGGTGTGTGTCACCACTACCAAACTTCTATAGATAACCAGTGTGGTTTATGGAATTGAAGGTGTGTATCACCTATGGTTGTGGCCAACTTTGTATTTTGATATCCAGTGACTTTATTAAATCATAAACAATATATCACCACAAAGGCCTTGGATGTAGAGCAGGAACATGAAGAAAAATGGGTTTTGAAAATTCTCTCTTGCCTTGGCATGGAGACCTGAATAGGATGGATGCAGAGAAACTGGAAGAAACAGATGTCTCTGGGGGTCAAAGAGGGATGAAAACAACAAATGAGTGTCTCCCATGCAGGAAGAAGGGTTGGGCAACAGGTTTGTTTGTTTGTTTGTTTGTTTGTTTGTTTTTTGAAGACTTTATGCACCCACAGACACTTGTTATCTAAATGTCATCTTCTACACCTTCAGGCACACAGTTCATTCAAGGTAGCAACATCCTTTGCACACAGAATGGAAGGTGGTCTCCCATCTTCCAGGTCTACCTGGAACCATCATAGGCATAGGAAGAGGACAGACCAGGGCTTCTTAGCATTGCCACTGTTGGCATGTGGATGGAACAGTCATTTGCTAAGGAGTGTTAGATATCACTAAGTGTAATTCCTGGTCCCTTACCATCCAGCTGTTGTCAGATATCCCCAGGGAGTCATGGAATCAGCTAATGGAGAATCAGTAGATTAGATGATGGCAGAGGGGGAAAGTTAATTGCAAAACTTACCTGCACATGGGTGGTAGAGTTACTGTCATAACAGGACATTAGGATTTAATCTCTCTGCTTCCAAAGTCAGAAGAGCAGGTACCAAGTGTATCCAACCTCTGTGCTAGGCATTAGACTTAGTGTTTCATGTAGATCACCATTGTTTTTCAAGGTGAGATTTGAGATTTCTCCATGCCCTATTTTCTCTATGTGTAAGATGAAACACCTGAAGGCCAAACTAGCCAAGTGTTCATGAAGACATAAAATGTGGGTTAAGCAACACATAGAAGTATTATGTTGCAGTGAAAATAAATGGAAAAGAGCTACATGCAATAACACTGGGGATCACTAATAATGATGTTGATTGATTTAATTAATTCCTAGAAGATCATATATGTTTCTAAAGTATAAAGACAATCCACACATATATGGGTATACATACATATATAAACACCCAGACACAAAGACATATATTATAACACACACACACACACACACACACACACACACACACACACAGAGAGAGAGAGAGAGAGAGAGAGAGAGAGAGAGAGAGAGAGAGAGAGACGTATATTCAGGATAGTTACAGCCAATAAGTAACAAATTATTTAAACTTAGCTTGTTGCAAAGTCTTTTTTTAAAAACTACAATTGATCACTATATGAGGTGTGTGTGTGTGTGAGAGAGAGAGAGAGAGAATATTGAGATTGTATATGGTACACATGCATGTGTGTATATGAGTGTTTGTGTGTGTGTGAGAGAGAGAACATTGAGATTGTATATGGTACACATGCATGTGTGTATATGAGTGTTTGTGTGTGTGTGAGAGAGAGAACATTGAGATTGTATATGGTATACATGCATGTGTGCATGTGTGTGTGTGCAGGTGTGAGTGTGCTCTACAGCCAGAGAAGGACTTCACTTGTCCCATTCCATCACTCTCTGACTTATTTCCTTGACAAAGGGACTCCTACCGAAGCTGGACTGGTAATCAACAAATGCCAGTGATCCTTCTGTCTCAAACTCTAACAACACTGAGGTCAGGGGCACACACAGCTATGGCTGGCTTTTACGTGGCATCTGAACTCTGTTCCTCAGGATTGTGTGGCAAGCACTCTTAAATACCAAGTCCTATCTCCAGTCCCATCTTTGTATTTCTTGATGTAGTCACGTAATGTCTTTAATGACGTTGTAGATGTCTTCAATCACAGTAAGCTGATCGAAATAAAAGTTGCTCTTAACTGTTTTTTGTTTTTGTTTTGGAAAGGAAACAAAAGCACAATCACTTAAAGGGAAAAAAACAGATGAAAAATGGAGCTTTATCTATACAACTAGTGTGTCTCTGTTCAGAATTTCACCTTTCAAATAGAAATTAATGTTATTTTTAAAAATATTTTTATGAGGGCGAGGATGCAATAACTTCACTAGACCCATGATAAATGGGTATTTATTGGGGAACACTTACACAGAAAAATACAAAGAACAGTGGGAGCATTTCTCTGCCCTTCCTATCGGATCAACTGATCCACTAGAAGGGCGCACAAACAGAAGCTGCCTCAAGCTTCCCCTCCTTCCACTTCTGTCCACCTGAAGCCACACCCAAAGGGGTGTGGCCACCATTTCAGGTTCACAGACAAGACACCTATATTTTTATGTTTCCTAGTTTGGTTGACTTATTTGGTGAGACTAAACGTATTTCTCTTGGGAGAATGAAGAACTTTAGGGTAAGCATATTCCAGAAGAAAACATATTCCTCAGCTTCCCAAGTATGAGAATTATAGGGGTGCATGATATCTGTAAAGTGAGCGTCATAAAAAGGAAGGTTCCAGGGGCCACGCATGCCACCACAAGAAAGATAGTGGTAGAGAGGGGCTCTTCAAGGACAAGGGTGAATGTCTCTCAGACATGACTGTCATGAGGAGTTCCTCTTCTTTTAAAACAGCAGGTGAAGAGGGGGGCAATAAGACAGGATTCCACAGCCGCTCCTTTGCCAAGCCATCTCCAGCATCTTCAGCTCTTTAAACCATTCTGAGGCAGCTGAGTTAACCTAAAAAAATGTCAAGGCAGTTTATGATGTTTCGGTACTTTGAAGATGTGGGTAATCAGTGAACCTGTTCCACAGAATGAGCTGCAAAGCCAGAAGTCAAGACTAGCTCTGCCTGCCATCCCACACCATCATCTTTCCATTCCATCACACACCTCCAGCAGGAACCAGGCCAGGACGTGCACTTCCGTGGGATGCCGGAATCAGTCAGTGGTGCAGCATCCAGTTGAGCAGAGAGGAAAAAGAGACAGGTCCTCAGAGAGCATCACAAGTTCTTCTCAGAAGAGATTGCTTGAGCTTTAAGAGGCTTTGCGGAGATGACGTGGTATTTCTGGTTGCTGATGTTTGATATTTGTGGAATTCATTAGCTGCTGGCCTCCATTTTATGAGTTAATACTCCTTCATCAAATATTTGAAGGTTTGTTCTTCTTCCCCAGGAGGTTTAGAGAAGCATCTCATACCCTGGCTCAGGCTGACATGGAACTCACTATGCAACCTACACTGGGCTTAAACTTACAGCAATCCTTCTCTGCTTCAGCTTCTCATGTATCAGAATTATAGGGGTGATCTGCCATGCTTAACTAAATGTCTATATTTTAAATTTCCAAATGAAAAGGTTATCTTTGGTGTATTACTAAATAGAGACAAACATTCAGCTCGTTAGAGTCAGCCGGTATCATACAGCAGTCTGGAGATGACTCCCATCACAAGGCCTGAATATGCTGCTCCTGGGCCAGCCCTGTTGAGTGAATGCCATTCTTTGGTCCAAGGAGATCCAAATGAGCAGAGATTTTTGGGAACGGTCACTCTGGATTTTAATTTTGTTTTAATCATAATTTAAACTCTGAGTTTGTTTTGCCACTTTTAAAATAGTGATGCCAAGTATTCTTACTAGCTAAGGCAATTTCAAGGATAAACGAAAATACCACCAAGGGCTTGATCACATGTGGTAAACGGAAGTCCTTACAGCTGCTAATTCTTGGCAGCAGTTTGAAAGTTAAGATTCTAAAGGGAGGGGGCACATTTAAACATCCTTAAGGCCCACCGACTCATTTTCTGTTCTCCATCTTTGCTCTCACACCTCTCTCCCACTTCCGTCAGTGCCTCATCGGATCCCAACGGCCCAGGACTGCATCCTGGAGGAAGAGCAGCTTTAGCTTGGAGGAGGCCTCCTGATGAGAGGGTAGTGAGCAAAAGCCTGCTGTGGTGAGGCTGAAGAACAACCCGTAAAAGAGACACCTCATTCCACAGTGGCATCTGTGCATCCAAACTTCCAGCTCAACAGACATGTTTTCTATTCTTAAGTGGGGGCATCTTCCCTAGCTCTAGAAGCACTAACCTGATGTTTATATGGACATGAATAAGAACAATAACAAGGAAAGATGCTGCTGGTAGTGCCAACACCCCAGGGAAGGACTATAAAGCCCCGTTGTCATAAGATGCTTTTTCAAAGTCACACTGAGCTTGCAGCTTCTCAACCAGGCTAGCAGCAGCACCATGTCAGACAGCCCTTGCCCCGGAAATCCCAAGGCTGTCCTATCTGTGCCCACCGTCTCCACATGCTCCAAGGGTGGCAGCATTAGAAATGCTATCCGTTTGCCTAGTTCCTGCCAGAGTAGGACGTGGCAACTGGTTACACATCAAGAAAACTGCATACCACCCAACAGTGCCCCAGTTACCTCTGAACCTGTTTCTTGTCCATCAACCTGCTTTCTAGAAACTTCCTGTGTGGGTTTTGTTTGCCAACCTATAGGTTCACATAGAGCCTGCTGTGCACCTGACACTGGTGGGACTCTTCATCCAGCTGCCTCATGCCAGCCCTGCAGTTTGGAATCTGCTGGAAAGTGCTGTGACAACAGCCCCTGCCACCAGAGCTCCGACCAGGGACCTGCCTGCACCTCAGCGTCATGCCGGGAAGCATGTGACACATCAGCCCACTGTGAGGATGGATCTGGCCAGCCATCTGGCTCTGAAGCAACTGCCTGTGCTGAGAACCAGTGCCTACCAGCTAGCTGTGAGGCCGGTTCATGCCAACCAACCTGCTGCCAAGGAGGGTCACATCAACCCATCAAAGGTGAAGGTCAGCTCTGCAAGTCAGTTTGTTATCAACCTATCTGCTATATTCTCAAGCCCTGCCAGTCAGCTCCCTGCATGCCCATCTCCTGCCAGACATTATCTTGTATGTTCAGTTCTTGCAGTCAAACTTGTTGTGCGCCCTCCTCTTGCCAGCCAGTTCACTCTCAACTAGCACCTTCATTCTCCTTCATTTGCCAGCCTGTGGCTACCTGCCAGTCCCCTTGTTGTGTAAAGAACAGCAGTAAATCAGCTTCATGTGTTATGATTTCTGGTCGACCCACTTTCAATCAGAGCGGCTGCCAATCTCCTTCAGGCCCGCCCCCTTGCTGTGTGACCGGTTTAGGCAAACCTTCCAGCAGTGGCCCTGGTTGCTGTCCACCAAGTTCTCCAAATGTCTGCCAAGCGGGCATCTGCGTGCCTGCTTGCTAACAACCTAGTTGTGAGTCCAGCTTTCCTGAGGCCCATCTTCACAATGGAACACTTCGCAGCTCATCTGAGGATGTGCTACAGTTCCCAAGTGTGGAGCCATCTGGTGGGTGCCTGCCTCCAGCACGGATGCTGCCTACTCTCTGGCTTTTCTGGAGCTCAGAGCCAAGTGCTCAAAAGCAGAGGAGAGAATTCCCCAGCTCTGAGGAGATCCTCTTACTCTAGGATGATGTGTCAGTGGGCGTGGTCTGCTCTACAGTGTGCATTCCCTGATGTCAGTTCATTTCATATCAGCAAAGCCTTCTCTCCAGTTCTCCTTTTTTTCCCCCTGGTCTTTCTGGAGATACTTTTGCTGCTTACTGCTAATAAAAATGTGAGTGGTTAAGTATAATGAGTAAGACTTGTGGATTGCTTTCCTTCCTTTCCACTCCTACAAGAATTTCATTTAGGTCACCTTTGAATACACTGACCCTGAGCCCTGTGGTAGTGGGTCTACACTGATCTGCATGGGTAGCGGAAGTCTGGAACTACAGATGCTCGAGCTGGGAGGAAGGACAAGCCATTATCTGGTTTCTAACCTTTTCACCACCAAGAACTCTCTGGAACTGAGTGGCCTCAGTTTCCCCATAATGACGGGACTTAAAAAACCTACGGCAGAGATAATTCAGGATAAACCTAGGGAATGAGTGGGGAGTTGCATGCCTTTAAACCCAGCACTCTGGAGGGGATAATGAGCTCCAGGCTGCCCAGGGTTCATAAAGAGACCCTGTCACAAAAATAACTGAAGTGGCCAGGGATGCAGCTGAGTTCGCAAGGCAATTACCTGGCACACATAAGGCCTGGATTAGATCCAGAATACCACATAAAGCAGGCATGGTGGTGGGCACGTCCAGTCCCAACACCTGAGAGGAGAAACGGTAATTCAAGGTCATCTTCAGATGCACAATGAATTCTTAGACCACCTTGGGCTACAGACACCCCCACATCAAACCAAACCAAACCAGATCAAACCCACCCGCATCTAAGTAAGTCAATAAATAAGCCTGAGATCTTGGTCATGGAGGACATCTTAGGGCTAATTGGCTTAATACTAGATGTGCTTGGTTTTTTTTTTTTCTCCCCAAGACAGGGTGTAGTGGTTTGAAAAAGCAATGGCCCCCAAAGAGAGTGGCATTTTTACCGGTGTAGCCTTGTTGGAAGAAGTGTGTCTCTGTGGAAGTGGGATTTGAGGTCTCAAATATGCTCAAGGCGCGTCCAGTGAGACAGATCACTTCAGGTTGCCTGCAAGATGTAGAACTTTCAGCTCCTTCTCCAGTACCATGTCTGCCTTCCCGCTGCCTTGATTTCTTGCAGGACTGCAATGGACTAAACCTCTGAGCTGTTAGCAAGTTACTCCCATTAAATGTTTTCCTTTATAAGAGTTTCCGTGGCCATGGTGTCTCTTCACAGCAATAGAAACCCTAACCAAGACTCAGGGTTTCTCTGTGTAGCCCTGTCTGTCCTGGTCCTTGCTCTGTAGACAGCTGGCCTCTAAGCCAGAGCTCCACCTGCCTCTGCTTCCCAAGTGCTGGGATTAAAGGCGTGTGCTATTGTACTCTTCCATTTGGAAAGACATCTAATTAAAGAAGTTTCATGTATTTATTCTTTTGAATATGTGTATGTGTGTGGACATGTGCCATGATGTTTGCTTGGAGGTTAGAGGACAACTTGTGGGGAGTCAGTTATCTTCATCTATCATGTGGGCACTGGGGATCAAACTGAGGTCATCATCCCAGTGTCTTTATCTGTGGAGCCATCTTGCTGGCTTGAGAATTTTATTTTAAAAGGGTCACCTTAAACTGCAAGGATGCCTGTTAAACTTCACGATTAGACACACATAATCTGCTCAACATCTCAAATCTGTCCTTTGCTGGCCTTCTTTGCTTTGTTTTGGTGTGTGTATATGAGTGTGGTCCATGTACATAAGTGCATGTGTATGAGCATGCCCGTGCATATGTGTGTGGGTATGAGCATGCCCGTGCATATGTATGTGGAAACCAAAAGAGAATGTCAGGGGTCCTGCTCTGTCTGTCTTCAGATGGGGTCCTCACTGAACCCTGAGCTAGGTTTGTAACTAGCAAGCCCAAGGTAAGTCTCTCTCTCTCTCTCTCTTTTTTATCTGCCTTACATGGTGCTGGGTTAATAGGCCAAATGCCCTATTACTTCTGACTCTATGTGGGTACTCTGGTCTTCGTATGTGCATAGCAAGAACTCCTACCCACTGAGTAATCTCCCCAGGACCCTATAACCTATGTATTTTTTTAAGTTAAAAAATTACACAAGAGAAAGCAGACATGTGTTGTCAAATGCTAACTGTTCTTGTTCACATAGAGATACTGAAGAATCTCTGAGCCAATATACAGAGAAAAGAGAAAACAAAAAAGCCCAAACAAAACCCCTGAATCTCACAGTCTACCATGCAGGGGCTCAGATCCTTCTACTTCCAACAGAATGACAACACACAAGCACAGTTGTGGTGTTGATTCCATATAGGTTTTTATTGAGACAAGAAGGGATTAAAAAACAAATTTAGAATAGAAAAATGTGGAGGGTTTTTTCTTGGGGGGGGGGTATGGCTGTCTAGTTATTCTATCCTTATTTGTAGATAAGATTATTCTCTCTCTATTGGGTGACCTCAGAAAGCCTGTCTAAAATCAGCTGACCTTAGATATCCGCACTTATTTCTAGACTCTCAACTTCATGAGTCAGTTTTCAATTCTGCTGTTGGTTGAGGTGACAATCACAATGATCAATTAGTTGCAGCTGGAGTCTCAAATGAAAGTTTGGAACAGGCAGAGATGAGACTGAAGCCTTGCAGGAGAAGAGACAGGACCTGGGATGTAAAGAGTAAGGTTTTTCCTCCCGCCGATGCGCCAGCCCCAAATAACCCACAGAGACTCTGTATTTGATGTAATGCTGTTGGTCAGTTACTTGTTTCTTATCGGCTAGCTCTGTCTTAATTATTAACCGTTAATCTATGTATTTCCATGTGGTCTTACCGGAGAGCCGGCTGGCATCCTTCTCTCTCCAGACTCTCCATCTTGACTCCTTACTTCTTCGAACCCTCCTAGTCTCCTTGTCCCTCCTCTCTTGCTTTCCTATTGGCCAACAGTGCTTTATTCATTAACCAGTATGAGAAACATATTTACAGAATGACATCTCCCATCACCTGGGATGTAGGATGCCTCTTATCCTTTACTGTTTGGAATGTCCTAAGATGTTCCTTATGTTTGGTGTTTGGGCTGTGGGGTCTAACTCCTCAAATACTTTTATTCTTTCATTACCCAGAAATCAGCATGTCTGAGTTTTCGAATTTTATTTTGCAATATTTTTGATCTATCAAGTTTACTTTGGTAAATACATTAATTAACTTTTGCAGTTAATTGAATCTACAGTTTTTCCCACATGTTAGGCAAATGCTCAACCCCTGAACTATACCAGTAGCTCTCTTTTTACTGTTTAAAAGTTTTTGATTTCAAGGGTTGCCTTAAACTTATTCTGTATCTGTGGCAGGTCTTAAACTTGGCACCTTTCTGCCCCAATCTTCCACGAACCTAGAATTAGTTATTAAACTAGCAACTGGGCTACCAGCTCTGACTGTCTTATTCTTTTTATGCTCAGTTATGGATTCCTCAACTTATTGCTGGTCCTCTGCCAGCACGCTAACTGTAGGCTCTAAGCACATTGGGTATTAAAGATGGGTTTGGAAGATTTGTGTTTTTCTTTTCTTTTCTTTTTTGTTTATTATGCTTGGCTTCAGTTCAGACAATGTGGCATTTATTTGCTCCTTGTAGGTTTGCTAGAACTTGCCCATAAAATATCTGGACCTCCTGCTATGATCAGCATTCTGCCCAGCCTGAACATGCTCATGACTAAATCCTTATTTACACATGGGCCTTAATAGAGGCACAATTTTAAAAAGACAAGAGAAACATGTCAACATCTAACCAACAACAGACATATTTCCTCCTTCCTTCCTTCCTTTTTTTCTTCCTCCCTTCCTCCCTTCCCCTCTTCCTCCCTCCCTTCTTCTTCCTTTTTTTTCATCTGCTTTGGATCTTTAAAGCAATGTAATTGAAAGAAAACATTGTCCACGGCACTGAAGTCCCCTTTGTGTCTTCTCCTTCTAGTTTATTTCTATCCTCAGATACAACCTCTTCCATGGTCTCATTGTGTATCTTTCTTGCCAGTGTTATTCATTTAAACCTGGTAGTAGTCTGCACTATCCATGAGGTATGCAAATAACATCTAGTGCAGGGTTTGCAAACTTCAAGATTTATATATGCAATGTAAAATTGTGTCATTTATTTATTTATTTTTTATCTCAAATTGTTTCCAAGAGCCATGCATTTGGGGGCTGGGTAGTTAGGCCACTAGTAAAGTACTTGCTGTGAGAGCATGCAAGCCTGAGCTCGATCCTCAAGGCTCACATAAAGGGCTAGGTAGGCATATGGATTGGCACTTAAAATCCTAGTACCAGGATGGCAGATACAGGGGAATCTGTGGGGTGAGCTGGCTGCTACGATATATGTCCCAGTATGAGACTCTGTCTCAAAAAACAAGGTGAATGGCTCCTGAGAAATGATTCTTGAAGTTGACATCTAGTCTTTATAAGCACACACATGTACACATGCACCTGTACACACATAAACACACACACGCACATGCACATGGGATCTGTTTAATTGTGTTAATAATCAATGCTTAAACAATAAATTATTTCAGAATGCAGTGGTTCAAAACAACAAACATGTAGTATCTTGGTATCTTTGTGGGCCAGAAATATAGGTGTGGCTTAGCCAGGCACCTCTAGCTTGGGATCCAAGTCAAGGAAGAGTATGAATCTAACATGTGAGTCCATATCTTCCCCCCAGCAAACTCCCAATGCTCTGAAATCCTAACCTACGCAGTCCTGTAGATCTGTGGCAGGTTATCTGTATAACTACCTCTTGAACACATTTTCTAATGAGGATCTCTGCTTAAATTAGGGTTAAATTCTCATTAGTATTGGATGAAATATGATGCTAAAAGCAATGAGACAGGTTTGGGCAAATTGTCATTGGATTTCATCCATACCTCCCCATTGTTTCCCTAAGGTATTAGGAGAGGTCTTTCAACTGTCCTGCAGAA